TCTTACCTGCAGCCTCACCAATGTTCAAGTCAGAGCTTTCCTGGACAACCCCATGCATGTCCCTGCCTGGCCCTCGCACACCCAGAGTATGATTGTGTGTACAGCAGAGTGAGCGAGGCCAGCAGTCCGTGTACAACCAGGAGAGGAGGAAGGCTACATCCGAGGCTCCAGGTGGTCAGCAGGAGGTGATGAGTAGAAACAAGAGCAAGAAAGACACTTATGTTCTCTATAATTGTGCAGCAACACCGGGTCGTAGTAGTAAAACCGGTTTTTGTGTTAGATGATTTTGTTTTCTAAGGAATATTAAATTTAATAAATGTGTCAAGATCATTCGTTTCACTATTCTGGATCATTTTCATCCTAATAAATTAACCTGATACATTTACTTTACTTTAAATAAGCTATTTAGTGGTGTTGGTAAAAGGGTGGGAATACTGAATTTTCATAAGATTTCAAGTTAAAATTTACCTAGCAAAAAATGAAAACTTTTCAAATCTGAAGATATCACATGATTCTGCACATAGAACTACATCATTAATACCATGGGCCGATTTTTCAAACTCAAAAAAAAAAAATTCGCCTCCGTATGACACACCCTACTAAGGGAGTATCTAAGTTTTCTATTGGGTAGTGTCACAGTAAACACTCTGAAGGGGTAATTTGTATGTTGTATTATACCAGTGTCTGTGTATATAATGTTAAGTGTGTGTACTGATAGTATTAAGGGAGAACTCAAGGTACTGTTGTATGTTGTATTATACCAGTGTCTGTGTATATAATGTTAAGTGTGTACTGATAGTATTAAGGGAGAACTCAAGGTACTGTTGTATGTTGTATTATACCAGTGTCTGTGTATATAATGTTAAGTGTGTGTAATGATAGTATTAAGGGAGAACTCAAGGTACTGTTGTATGTTGTATTATACCAGTGTCTGTGTATATAATGTTAAGTGTGTAATGATAGTATTAAGGTCAGTTATTTTGTATGGAGAAGAAGAGACCTTCATTTATGGGAGAAGGTCAGTTATGTTTGTGTGGTGCTGTGACCTTAATTGCTTGGGGAAGGTCAACTATTTTTGTATTGTCACAGAGTGCAGTATTTTTATTATGTCTAAAATAATTAGTTAAAACTACTGGTTGGTGTTTCACCCTTCCTTCCACCCTCAACTTTGATTAATGAAAAACACAAACTCACACTACTAGACTAAACTCACACTACTAGACTAAACTCACACTGCTAGACTAAACTCACACTGCTAGACTATTCTCACACTGCTAAACTGAACTCACACTGCTAGACTATACTCACACTGCTAGACTAAACTCACACTGCTATACTAAACTCACACTGCTAGACTATTCTCACACTGCTAAACTGAACTCACACTGCTAGACTATACTCACACTGCTAGACTAAACTCACACTGCTATACTAAACTCATACTGCTAGACTAAAGGCACACTGCTAGACTAAACTCACACTGCTAGACTAAACTCACACTGCTAGACTAAACTCACACTGCTAGACTAAGCTCACACTGCTAGACTAAACTCACACTGCTAGACTAAACTCACACTGCTAGACTAAGCTCACACTGCTAGACTAAACTCACACTGCTAGACTAAACTCACACTGCTAGACTAAGCTCATACTGCTAGACTAAACTCACACTGCTAGACTAAACTCACACTGCTAGACTAAACTCACACTGCTAGACTAAACTCACACTGCTAGACTAAACTCACACTGCTAGACTAAACTCACACTGCTAGACTAAACTCACACTGCTAGACTAAACTCACACTGCTAGACTAAACTCACACTGCTAGACTAAACTCACACTGCTTCAGTAGACTAAACTTACACTGCTAGACTAAACTCACACTGCTAGACTAAACTCACACTTCTAGACTAAACTCGCACTGCTAGACTAAACTCACACTGCTAGATGAAACTTACATTGCTAGACTAAACTTACACTGCTACACTAAACTCACACTGCTAGACTAAACTCACACTACTAGACTAAACTCACACTGCTAGACTAAACTCACACTGCTAGACTAAACTCACACTGCTAGACTTAACTCACACTGCTAGACTAAACTCACACTGCTAGACTAAACTCACACTGCTAGACTAAACTCACACTGCTAGACTTAACTCACACTGCTAGACTAAACTCACACTGCTAGACTAACTCACACTGCTAGACTTCTTTGCCAGCTCCCCAAAGAACAACTACACATACTGTCCTGCGGTCTGGTGGCTGCGACCCTAAGTTAAGAAGTAAACCCTAGTATTAAGTGACCAATTAAAGGGCAGTATAACTGTATACACTTGGCCATGATGTTCCCCAAACATAAATATCTTACAGAATGAGATATAAGTATTTAAACTATTGCTGAATACTTTATTACAACCCCAATATTGTAGAACATGTGTACAACAGGACATGATAGTGAGAGGTACTCAAACACTCTTCTCAGGTGTGTCTCAGGCCAACAGGACATGATAGTGAGAGGTACTCAAACACCCTTCTGAGGTGTGTCTCAGGCCAACAGGACAGTAGTGGGAGGTGCTCCAAACATCTTTCTCTTGTGTGTCTCAGGCCAACAGGACATAGTGGTAGGGAGGTGTTCAAACGCCCTTCTTAGGTGTGTCTCAGGCCAACAGGACATGATAGTGAGAGATGTTCAAATACCATACAGATTGTGTCTCCAATTGGCGGACATGACAGTGAGTATTCAAACACTCTTCTCCAGGTGTGTCTAGGGCCAACAGGACATGATAGTAGGATGTACTCAAACCCGGCCTTCTCAGGTGTGTTTCGGAGAAGCCCAACAGGACTGATAGTGAGAGGTACTCAAACCCTTCTCTGCTGGGTGTGTCCTCAGGCCAACAGGACATGATAGTGTGAGGGTACTCAAACACCCTACTCATGTGTGTCTCAGGCCATCAGGACATGATAGTGAGGGGTACTCAAACACCCTTCTTATGTGTGTCTCAGGCCAACAGGACATGATAGTGAGAGGTACTCAAACACCCTTCTAATGTGTGTCTCAGGCCAAGAGGACATGATAGTGAGAGGTACTCAAACACCCTACTCATGTGTGTCTCAGGCCAACAGGACATGATAGTGAGAGGTACTCAAGCACCCTACTCATGTGTGTCTCAAGCCAAGAGGACATGATAGTGAGAGGTACTCAAACACCCTACTCATGTGTGTCTCAGGCCAACAGGACATGATAGTGAGAGGTACTCAAATACCCTTCTCAGGTGTGTCTCAGGCCAACAGGACATGATATTGAGAGGTACTCAAACAGCCCTCTCAGGTGTGTCTCAGGCCAACAGGACATAATAGTGAGAGGTACTCAAACACCCTTCTCAGGTGTGTCTCAGGCCAACAGGACATGATAGTGAGAGGTACTCAAACACCCTTCTCAGGTGTGTCTCAGGCCAACAGGACATAATAGTGAAAGATACTCAAACACCCTTCTCAAGTGTGTCTCAGGCCAACAGGACATAATAGTGAGACGTACTCAAACACCCTTCTCAGGTGTGTCTCAGGCCAACAGGACATGATAGTGAGAGGTACTCAAACACCCTTCTCAGGTGTGTCTCAGGCCAACAGGACATGATAGTGAGAGGTGCTCAAACACTCCTCTCAGGTGTGTGTCTCAGGCCCAACAGGACCTTGATGTCGTGGGGCCATTACTCAAACACTCTTCTCAGGTGTGTCTCAGGCCAACCAGGACATGATGGTGAAATTTATAAAACACCCCCTTCTCCAGGTGTGTCTCAGGCCAACAGGACAACGTGGGGGCAATGCTCAAACACCCTTCTCAGGTGTGTCTCAGGCCAACAGAACATGATAGTGAGAGGTACTCAAACACCCTTCTCAGGTGTGTCTCAGGCCAACAGGACATGATAGTGAGAGGTACTCAAACCCTTCTCAGGTGTGTCTCAGGCCAACAGGACATGATAGTGAGAGGTACTCAAACACCCTTCTCAGGTGTGTCTCAGGCCAACAGGACATGATAGTGAGAGGTACTCAAACACACTTCTCAGGTGTGTCTCAGGCCAACAGGACATGATAGTGAGAGGTACTCAAACACACTTCTCAAATTATGTCAGGCCCAACAGGACGCTGATATTAGAGACGTACTCAAACCTCTCAGGTGTATCTCAGGCCAGCAGGACATGATGGTGGAGGTACTCAAAGCACCTTCTCAGGTGTCTCAGGCCAACAGGACATGATAGTGAGAGGCACTCAAACACCCTTCTCAGGTGTGTCTCAGGCCAACAGGACATGATAGTGAGAGGCACTCAAACACCCTTCTCAGGTGTGTCTCAGGCCAACAGGACATGATAGTGAGAGGCACTCAAACACCCTTCTCAGGTGTGTCTCAGGCCAACAGGACATGATAGTGAGAGGTAGTCAAACACCCTTCTCAGGTGTGTCTCAGGCCAACAGGACATGATAGTGAGAGGTAGTCAAACACTCTTCTCAGGTGTGTCTCAGGCCAACAGGACATGATAGTGAGAGGTACTCATCATTCAAGATGGACTTGATAATGATATAATTGGTAGTTGATTATTATTTACTTTTTATATTATACTTAGTTATTGTTTAATAATTGTTGCTGAATAATTATGTAGTTTTAGACTAATAGTTACCGTTAATAATATTATGAATAGTTAAAATAGCGAGTTTATTATGGTGTCGTAAGCTTATATATAGTGTTTTATATTAATAAAATATTAATAAATAATCTTAAAATAGTTAAACAATAAATGTTATTGTTTAAATAGTTAAATAATAAAAGTTATTGTTTAAATTTATTTTAGTGTATTTGTAAATGTTGTCAAGCTATTCGGTTCTCCAGCTATTGACTTAAGTTTAGTTAATATTAATATATATCTATTAGCGGGAGTTTATCAATAATAAAACCTTATGATTAAAGTATAATTTATTTATATTATGTAAAATGTATAAATAAAATACTTTATTATAGTGTTAATAATGAAAACTTGTAGTTACTGAAAGATAAGAGAGAGAATCGGACAAGGTGTAGCGTGTCAACATCAACCAAGGTGGACGTCTTGTTTATTGTTGTTAATTTTGTTAGTAAATGTTAATTTGTGGGCCTTCCTCCCTCCCTCGTGGTAAGTTAACATTATGTATGGCCGTGTTAACTAGACACAGTACAGTAGAACATAAGAATGGAGGAAACTACAGCGGGCCATACTGGGCAGTCCACCCAGCCCCTATTGCTCATATAAACATCCAACCTATGGTTGAAGCTATCCAGCCATCTCTGTGGTTGTCGGTCACACTGGTTGAACTAGGCCCATCTGGGACCAACTAGGCCCATCTGGGACCAACTAGGTCCATCTGGGACCAACTAGGCCCATCTGGGACCAACTAGGCCCATCTGGGACCAACTAGGCCCACCTGGGACCAACTAGGCCCATCTGGGACCAACTAGGCCCATCTGGGACCAACTAGGTCCATCTGGGACCAACTAGGTCCATCTGGGACCAACTAGGCCCATCTGGGACCAACTAGGCCCATCTGGGACCAACTAGGTCCATCTGGGACCAACTAGGCCCATCTGGGACCAACTAGGCCCATCTGGGACCAACTAACCAGGCCCATCTGGGACCAGGCCCACCTGGGACCAACTACAGGGCCCATCTGGGACACAGGCCCATCTGGGACCAACTAGGGCCATCTGGGACCAGCCGGCCATCTGGGATCAGCTAGGCCATCTGGGACCAACTAGGCCCATCTGGGACCAACTAGGCCCATCTGGGACCAACTAGGTCCATCTGGGCCAACTCCATCTGGGACAACTAGGTCTACTCTGGGACATCTGGGACTAGGTCTATCTGGGACCAACTAGGCCCATCTGGGACCAACTAGGCCCATCTGGGACCAACTAGGTCCATCTGGGACCAACTAGGCCCATCTGGGACCAACTAGGCCCATCTGGGACCAACTAGGCCCATCTGGGACCAATTAGGCCCATCTGGGACCAACTAGGCCCATCTGGGACCAACTAGGCCCATCTGGGACCAACTAGGCCCATCTGGGACCAACTAGACCCATCTGGGACCAACTAGGCCCATCTGGGACCAACTAGGCCCATCTGGGACCAACTAGGTCCATCTGGGACCAACTAGGTCCATCTGGGACCAACTAGGCCCATCTGGGACCAACTAGGCCCATCTGGGACCAACTAGGCCCATCTGGGACCAACTAGGCCCATCTGTGACCAACTAGGCCCATCTGGGCCCAACTAGGCCCATCTGGGACCAAATAGGTATGGTGCATGTGTGTGGTGTAGGTATATGGTGCAGGTATGTAGTGTGTTTGTGGTGCAGGTGTGTGGTGTAGGTATATGGTGCAGGTATATAGTGTGTTTGTGGTGCAGGTATATAGTGTGTTTATGGTGCAGGTGTGTGGTGTAGGTATTAATTAACAGGTAGACGGTGAAGGCAAGTGGACCAATAACTGCTGCTGCTTATTAATGTAAACTACTGGAGGAAATTGTCAATGGAACAATGTTAAGGAAATAGTTTGATAGTTTGAGGTATTGTATTACTTTCCTGTTGAGTTTTTGTTACTTTTATGTTTGGTAAGTTTTGTTACTTGTGGAGTGTGATACTTTTACATTTGATAATTTTTGTTACTTGTGGAGTTTACGTCACTTTACGTTTTGGAATTGTTACTTTTCAGTAGTTTTTTACTTTTAAGATAATTTTGTCAAGTTACTTTTGTTATATTATAGTGGTCACTATTTGTGGTAATGTTAGTAAATGGATGTTTTTTAAATAAACGCTACTTAACATTTGTGGTTATGAAGGACAGACCTAACCAAACAAACCTACCTAATCTAACTTCCCCGGTATATTAAACAGAAAAAACTTACTATACGGTGATATTTGAGACATTTTCTGGACGTGAGATGATACAGCAGCATCGGCACTATGGCGGGTTAGTCCTATATATTAACCAAGGTGGGATTTTGGGTCATATTTATTTTGGGAAAGATTTTTTTATTTAATTGAAGTAAAAAAATTTGGTTATAAGAATGTGGTACTTTTTATTTGTGGTTAAATTACAGTTTGTAGCAAAATATTAGCTTTTGAGACATTTTGGGAACTTTACTGTATAGTTGCAGTTGATTTTTTGACAAGAAATTTACATTTTTGTCACTGTATTTGGTGGGATCCTAACCTAGCCAAATCGTGTGTCCGATGGTGAGGGTTTAATTCTCGGGGAAAATAAAAATTTGGTGGTATTCAAACCTAACCTAACCAAATCATGTCTTCGATGGTATTTTAATTCTCTGGGAAAGGAAAAATCGCAAGACGCTTCACAATGTCGGCGTTTATAGATTAGTAAACCCTTATGGCAGTGGGATATAGCTTGTGAATTTACCAGGTGTTATCCATTAGTGACTAGTAAGTGGTATTAAGAAAGTTGTTGACCAGAGTTAACTTGTGGTCCTTCTGCAGCTCTTCACAGTCTGCTTGGTTCTTGATTTCCCGAAATAACTTGGCGTCATCGCCAAACATTTGTACAACGTCAGGCATGTCATTATGAAACAAACAAACAACAGCGGGCCCAATACACTGCCCTGTGGTACCCCGCTTGTGACGGGTATTGATGACGATTTTGTACCAGTAATTGCCACACACTGCTTGCGGTCATGTACAGGTAGAAAGTCTTCTATCCACGCTAGGACATTTCCTCGAATTCTGTACCCTTCCAGTTTGATTTTCAGTCTTTCCTGGAGTACACTGTCGAAAGCCTTGGCAAAATCTAGGTAAATATTGTCGATATTACCACCTGTTCCAGAATATGGGGCCAAATATCCAATACCTTGAGCAATTGTGTTAAGCAGGAGCGCCCCGGCATAAAACCGTGTTAGCAATCTTTTACAAGGTTGTTTCGTCTCCAACATGTTGGAACAAAAAATTATCTGAGTTTCTACAAAAAGAGTAACAGGGTTATTTTGTTTACAGTTTACTGCTCCAATTGGTTGTTACTGTAGTGTTAAGACAACTACCATATTGCTGCCTCGCTGATCATGGTTAATGAAGTTCCTCGTGTCATTGTCTAGGTAAGATTTTCTAAAGTGTTTCATTATTCTCTTTAAAAAGTTTTATGGAAATTTCTTAATTTAACCATAATATTGTATTTAAATGTTTGAAGATTTAATGAGTTCCTGATTAATATAATACTGTACAGTACTGTATACATATTATATAATATTACTGCCCAGAGTATTTAATTTATTAGCTGTTAAAATGTTATTCATTCTAGGACGGTGACGTGAAGATGTAAGACATGGGCCACAAGACGAAGGTTTGTTTTGGTTAACAGGTCTCTTGCTGCACCACATTGGAAGCTTTCTGCTATAACATAAGGTACAGTACAGTGTATATCTTTGTGGTTTTAGTTTTTATTAAGGATCTGGGATCACCGTTTAAAAATTCAAGTAATTGTGTTAAAGACCTTTGAAATAATTAGATATTTTAAGTACTGTATATTACGCTGTGCCCGTAAGTTTTAAAAGCCTTTATGGATGGTCTTAAATATGTTGACCATCTTTACTGTATGAAGTTAGTTTCACGTCAAAATATTTGTCAAATATGCCTGACCTAATACCTTTGTCTTCAGCACTTGGGGGTAGAAAAATAGTTTAAATATCCTACAAAGGTACAGGGTACTACTTTACCTGATTTTATATCTAGGTTCACAAATTAGTTATTGTGTTAATGACTTTTTGAAACAATTAGATATTTAAAGTAGATTACTTAGGCTTTGCCCGTATATTTTAAAAGGCCTTCATATACGTTTTAAAAATAATATGGACTACAGTGAGTTCTGCTGTAACGCGTGTTTTGACAACTCGAATTGGCTCTAACGCGATTTATGAATAGAAGAACCATATTTGTAAAACGCGAACGCTTGTTTGCTGTAACGCGATTTTTGCTTACTATTTCTCCAATTTTGTGGTATTAACTGTGAATATGGTAAAGAAGAATATCTCCAAGAAGCGTTCTGGTGATCGCATTCCCGGTGATGATCGTAAAAGAAAGGCTATCCTTTGTGTTAGGCTAACTACTAAAATTTTTTTTATTTCGAGTAATCTGCACCTAACCCTATTTTCTCCATAAGCCCTGTTATTTCTATTGCGCAAATTTATATAACACGATGTTTAACAAGAACGCAACTAACGCGTTATAGCAGAACTGACTGTATTGGGGTGTCGACTGCATGGAAAAGCCAGGAAACTTTCAAACAAATGGGGTATTTTATTTGGGTTAAGTTATACTGTGGGGTATGAGATGTTTGGTTCACACTCAGGATGGGATGGAGAAAGGAAACTCACGATGTGCTCTCTATATACATGTTGTATTGGATGTAATATGCAGCTTGGTGCTGGGAAGGCAGCATGGTTACAAGCATGATGTAGAGAGAGCTGGTTGGTGAGGACGCTCAGAGAAGGACAGCTTGTGGGTCGCCATGCTCGCCAGCGGGAGAGAGGACCGCCAGGCAGGCGGAGGTTCGAGGGAAGGCCGCCAGGCAGCAGCGGAGGAGGAGGTGTTGCTGGCTGCGGCTGTAGGTAGAGAGAGAGCGATCACCACGAGGTCAGGTCTTAAATAGCGGGTGTAGGCGTGGCTTAGCAGTTGACACCCCCGCTCCGTGGTGTATGGCGGCGCTGGTTGACCTGGACCACGAGGCATACACTGGGGAATTGGTGGGCTCGGCTAGGCCGCGACAAACAGCGTTTGTAGGGGAGAATTCCACTACAATACTCCCCCTTCCCTCCAGGCTGTGTAGGAGACTTGTTGTCTGCAGGGTTGCATAGCACATGCGAGGCAGAACGGGCGGTGCGTGCCTCATGTGAGACAACGGCGATGGCGTGGATGAGCCGGTCGCTGGGGACAACTGTCTAGATACACACTATCTGTGGGAGTAGAGAGGGAGAATAAGGGTGTATGGAGGCGATGAATGTTGTGCTTCCCTCACGGCAGGTACCGAGTCGTCAGATGCGCCTGCTGGGGTGTGTGGGCCTGGGTCAGGAGCAGGGGCTGCGTCAGTAGAAACGGATGAGGGCTCGTGACAGCAGCTGGGTCCACGACAGCAGCAGGGTGCAGGACATTAGCAGGGAGTACCTGGGGGAGAAAAGAGGGGTGTGTGTGTCCGCACTCAGGAACAGAGGCCGCATCAGGGGCGGCAGGGGTTACTGCTGGGCCGGGGTCGGCGTCTGAGGCAGGACAGATGTGCTGGGGTCGGAAGAGGAGCCACTGTCTGCTTAGAGTAGCAGAGCTGCTCTAGGGTGTCTGACCTGCGGTGTAGAGACAGTAGCTGTAGAGCCGATGAGAGCTGCTTCTGGGTGGATAAGCCAGTCTTCCATGTTGCTTGAAGACTAGGAGCGTGATCAGTTTCTCCTCCATCCTGTGTGAGTGCGAATCTCCGGGAGTCACCATTTGTGGGGTATGAGATGTTTGGTTCACACTCAGGATGGGATGGAGAAAGGAAACTCACGATGTGCTCTCTATATACAGTATTACCCCGCTTAACGCGCTTTCACTTAACGCGTTTTCGCATATACACGGTGCCTTGCCAAAGCTGAACTTTCACTTAACGCGGCATTTTTCATCATATACGCGGTGAGTGTCCGGCTCGAGAGCTATTTTTAGATTCGCACCACCCCCCACCCGCCACCCTGCCTGACTGCCTGTTTTAGCTCATAAAATTCATACAAATTACCCAGCCAGAATATAATTTACATTGCTGGAATTCTTATAATTTGGTGATCATTTTGAATATAAACAACATATATTTTGCATTAAACATACAATTTTTAGATAAAAATTGTTCTCTAGGTAATTATGTTATCTTTTGTCCAAAATATATGACATTTATATTCAAAATATTCCTGGTCTTACAAGGAATCCAGCAATGTCAATTATATTATCCTAACTTTAGTTTGAGGTATTATTTATTAAAATTTAGTGGTTATCCCACACATCTCCTTGGGACGGTTGGTGGGGGGTGGGGGGGAGGGAGGGACCGACCGACCGACCATCTGTTACCCTGTGAAGAATTATTTTTTTTTTTATTAACTGAAGATATTTGTTTTAGCTCATAAAATTCATACAAATTACCCAGTCAGAATATAATTTACATTGCTGGAATTCTTATAATTTGGTGATCATTTTGAATATAAACAACATATATTTTGCATTAAACATACAATTTTTAGATAAAAATTGTTCTCTAGGTAATTATGTTATCTTTTGTCCAAAATATATGACATTTATATTCAAAATATTCCTGGTCTTACAAGGAATCCAGCAATGTCAATTATATTATCCTAACTTTAATCTGAGGTATTATTTAATACTAAATGTTAAAAACTCTTGAATGGAGGATTGGTGGGGGGTGGGGGGAGGGTTGGGACTGACCACGCGGTTGGAAGAGGGGGGGAAGGCAAGGTGGGGTACTTTGATTGACAGATAGTGTCGAAGAATATTTTTTTTTTTTTATTAACTGAAGATATTTGTTTTAGCTCATAAAATTCATACAAATTATCCGGCCAGAATATAATTTACATTGCTGGAATTCTTACAATTTGCTGATCATTTTGAATATAAACAACATATATTTTGCATTAAACATACAATTTTTAGATAAAAATTGTTCTCTAGGTAATTATGTTATCTTTTGTCCAAAATATATGACATTTATATTCAAAATATTCCTGGTCTTACAAGGAATCCAGCAATGTCAATTATATTATCCTAACTTTAGTTTGAGGAATTATTTATTACTATACCTGGTTTTCCCCCAAAAATTTCTCAGAGGGAAGAGCCAGTGAGTGTAGTGTGAGAAGAGGGGGAGGGAGTTGAGTCCATTATTTGAATGGACATTAACTTGGCGACTGTATTTCTCTATTTCTCTTAAGTATTAATTGTGTGCATGTACCATCATAAAATTAAGATGTTATTTTTACTACAACATAGTTATTTGTCGTCAAAAAGTGGAGTTTGGGGGTCGGGCTGGGTTCTATTGGAATTAATCCCATATGTTCTGTTATTCACTTAACGCGGTTTTCACTTAGCGGGACCCTCTGGGTTCAATTGACCACGTTAAGTGGGGTACAACTGTACATGTTGTATTGGATGTACAATGCAGCTTGGTGCTGGGAAGGCAGCATGGTTACAAGCGTGATGTAGAGAGAGCTGGTTGGTGAGGACGCTCAGAGAAGGACAGCTTGTGGGTCGCCATGCTCGCCAGCGGGAGAGAGGACCGCCAGGCAGGCGGAGGTGCGAGGGAAGGCCGCCAGGCAGCGGCGGAGGAGGAGGTGTTGCTGGCTGCGGCTGTAGGTAGAGAGAGAGCGATCGATACGATACGAAGTCTTTAGTTAAGAGGTGAAAGAAGATTATTAGGGATTGAAGGAAAAGTGGTGAAACTGAAATACAGTAGAAGTAGAAAGAATCTGGGCTCAACCAGATCGCTTCATCTTTCTTATTGGTGTTTTGTCTTTGTTCTGCTCCCTTGGGTCGTCAGACCTTTGTATTAATATTGGTTTATTTATATAATGCTGCTTATTATTATTATTTTTATTATTGTTGGAGTTAGTGAGCCCGCCCAGGTCCTTGTGTAACTGGGAGGGTAGTCACATTTTTTTTTTGAGGTGTTAGTTAAGTGTTAGTTGTGTTAGTCTAAAGGTACACTGTATGGAGAGGCCTGCCAGGTTCTTAGTGGAGCTGGTTGGTCACTCTCATCTTTATTCCTCTAGTAATGTTTTATGTAGAAATGTGTATGTTGAGGCAGGAGGTGGTTCAATTACTTCTTCCTGGCTGATATAGCTGGGAGGGTAATCACATTATTATTATTAATATTATTAATATTTATTTATTTATTATTTTTTATTTTTTTTTTTTTTTTGAGTTAGTGAGCCCGCCCAGGTCCTTGTGTAGCTGGGAGGGTAGTCACATTTTTTTTTTTTTATTTTTTTTTTTTTACTAAGATGTTAGTTCAATGTTAAATGTTAAATGTTAAATGTTAAATATTAGTTATGTTAGTCTAAAGGTACACTGTATGGAGAGGCCTGCCAGGTTCTTGTGGAGCTGGTAGGTCACTCTCATCTTTTATTCTCTCTATTAATGTTTTATATGTATATTGGGGCAGGAGATGGTTCAATTACTTTCTTCCTGGCTGATTTAAACCAACTGTGTTCTTGGAATTCTTCGTTGTCTATATTATTTATCCAGTTTTGATATGTTTCTGTGTTAAGTTCAGTCACTTTTTTCCAAATATTTACAGCTTTGTTGTGTATATCTACATTGATTGCTAAGAGGTTTGCTCTCTTGTGTAGCTGTTCATTACTGATGTGGTCTGTATATTTTAT